TCCTTGCAATGATCGTTTTAAAATTTCATTAAATATTGTTCATTTTAGATATCATAATTATCCTTGAATTCAGGAAGGAATTAAACCTCAAATTATGTTAAATCTTTGAATCTTTTTTTAATTCAGGGAGGAGTTGAACGTGGACCTCATGTTCGCGTATGAACAATCGTAAAAAGCCAGAAGTGATTATATATAATGATTGTCTGATGAAACTATGTGTCGTATAATGGTTTCCATGGGCATTCAATAGACTCGTGTGTTAAATGTCTGACTGTGTGATCCCGAGAACGCGGCGATGTTCCGCGTTACGTGATAATAGAAAAGTAAACGTGAATAGAATAAAAGTAATGAAATAAATAAACATGCAAAATAGTAAAAATATGAAATAAATCTAAATAGCCATTACATACCATCTTCTTTACACAAATCAACTGAAATATATATTAGGTACATTTTATATGTGTACAATTTCATATCGTAGACAGATTACTTGATTATTTACAATTTATATGGTACGAATGAAATTCTAGAGAGATGGGAGAAGACTAGAGAAAGCAAAGCTATATTTATTTTCCTTCCTTTCCATTTTGGCAGCAGAGATGCGAGAGATACTTCTTCGATTATTCTCATATATTGTACAAAATTCGTATGAGTTCTAAAAACTTTTCGTTCTCTCGAGGTTTATCCTAATTTGATATGTTCAATATTTTTTATAGTGTGCAGCAGCTTGTGTTTTCTGGTACCATTCATCGTGTACTGGTTCGTTTTATACGCTTTCTAATGCAAAAATCAAGAAACAGAAGAGTCCACAACACAGATCATTCTTTTCCAAGCAAAAGAGATACTTTTCTGTATTTAATCTCAATAGACTTGAATTTTGAATCATTTTACATGATTATGAATTTTGCTTCTGGTTGTGAACCTTCTCTTACTAAATCGAAATCTCTGAATTAAAGCAACTTCTTTTGATAATTCGAATTACGTCGTACATTCTGTTTTCTAGACTTTCAGGAGTAACGTTCGATGGCAGCAAACAAAATGCAAAATAATTAAATCATCGCTAATAATATCGTCAAAGAATACCAACGAAATATAGCCAAGAAAAGTAATAAAAAAAAAAATATAGCAAGACAACTGAAACGTATGTACACAGTAGAAATTACAAATCAAACTTCTATACATATTGTATGCATTTTTGTTTCAGATTTATATATACGCACACGAGTATATAATGTACAAAGGAAGATTCAAGCGTCGTATCGATCTCACGATCACTTTTAAATAGCATTAAGCGATTTACATAATATTCTAAAGCAAATTCTCCAAGATAATATGAACGTCAAGAAACAAGATTATCTTGGCTAATAACACAGTCCTACTCTCAAACACATTTACATAATAAATATATATTTCGTATTTCTAACACTGCATTTAATCTCGTTGTCAGTTTTGATAAATTTGACATTATTCTTCTCAAAATTGTGACGTGCAAAGATCTCTAAGAAATAAATAATAATAATAATGTATTTCGATTTTTAAAGAAAAAATCATTTTTCGTAGAACTGTGTAATTAACATTTCCATTTTCATAAATAAAATTATGTACAATGAGAAATTAAGAATGTAAGCATTGATGTAATAATTATTTACATTTTTATTTCCAGTGTAATCGAGCGACATAAAAGAATCTGAAACTCCTCGAGTAACTTATTACTACATCTTGGAAAAGTTTCTAAAAGTAAAAAGCAATTTGACGAACTTTGCTACAAGCTGCTTCTAGTGATCGCAACTCTTTTTTTGTTAGCTTCAACGGTAGAGTAGATATCGCGACTTTGGAATTACTTCAAATTAGTTTTTAATGCGAGGCGAAATTTGAAACTTTAACTATCAACCTGAACTTATTATAATAAATGAAATTACAGTTTCAAACTGCATACGACACTGATTCTTTTTAAACAAATGAATTACAGTTACGATAAATAAATTCTAATTTAATAAAATTCTATTTATCAGTTTTAGAAATGCTAATTTACTCGGGGAAATATAAATGTATTCCAAGATTGGTTCACCAAATCAGGGGAAAAATCGTCTCGGTCGATTACGTCGAAAATAAATTACATCACGCTCGGAGAATTCGTTTTCGAAATGAAAAGAAAGTTAACGCCCCATTGAGAAACAAACGGTGGCTACGATAGGAATTGACGTATGGTGTCATTTCTCTAAACGACGAAAGCAAGCAACAAAGGAGAAGCAAGATTTTCGTCGTCTCATAAAACGAGACTCTGTGTCTGGATTTGGTACGTATTAAGGAAAACTGAATCTGCTTGAACCAATGTTATTTCCAATCGACATGAATAATACGTAAAAAATAAATGTCTGCAATTAGAGAAGGAAAAAAATATATGGTATCCAAAAATTGATTGAAATGATAAATAAAAGATATTTCAGACAGAAATACTTTTCGATATTAAATTATTGTGTGCACAACACGCGAGGTACTCGAAGTAAAAATTGAAATTGATCGCTGAACGTTTCAATAATAAAACAACAGTAATTCGAGCAGTTTCATTTTTTATTTGCCTGGAACACTGGTTCCAATTTTGAAGATCAGTCAAGAAATTAAACGTCGTTATTAAACATGTACGTATGTATGCGTGTGTGTACGTAAATGTATAGAAGCGTTTTAAGCGTAATTCGAAACTGCGTTAAAACACACGAATAATCACGAGCAACACTCACGATCATTTATAGTTATTTATTCCGCGTACAACTGAACGGCATTTAACATCGAGAAACACCGAGCAGAATTCGCATTCTCTGTTTGCATCCATCCACTGCCAAATTTCTCTGCATGATTTTATGATTTATTAAACGAACTATCGCGCGACGAATCGGTCGGCCACGGGCCACACGGAATTTCGCTTTACCCGAATCACCGCCTCTATTCTCTTTTTTCCCTGTATTCCCTTTTGCACTTTTATCGTTATTTTTATTATCAATCGGCCAAGTGAAATAGATTTATTGCACAGAATGCCTGAAACGTTTTAAGCCACGAACGAGCGACATATTATTAACAATATTAGAAAGGAAAGTTTTCCTGCTTGATAATTCAAAGTTCGACGAGATGTGAACTGAAAATCATTTAATAGCGAATTTAACTGCATTGAAAGAAAACTTGCTAGAAATATAATACTGTCACTTCACGAGAATCGTTTGCTAATGGCGAAACGTTCTAACCGCGGAAGAAGAGAAGCTTGCGTCTCTCGTAATTCGTATAGAGCCGATTTACCCGGGAATTCGATACACTATCGAAACAAGATGCATTTTCCGTGACTCACTAGGAAATGAGATGAATCTTTCGATTCAAATAATGGAGCGACTAGAATTAAAGAATCAGCATTTCAATTCGACTATCTTTGGTATTTAAATAAAAAATAGTAAATTAAAAATAGGATCGATTATTGACTTTGAAATTATTCCTTTTGCCCGGTGTTTAAAACTGTTAGAGTGATCTGAGCTGATCACGCTTCGCGTGACTCGTTAATATTTATTTCTAGGCGCTCCGGATTATTAAATGATCCGAGAATGACTGATACACGTGATCCAGCGGAAAATAGAATACAGAAGAACGAAATATCGAGTAGTTCGTCGGCGAAAAAGTTCTTTGGACATCGTAAGCAGCTAGGAACACCAACAACCAACGGCTATGTAGTAGCTACTGCCACTGAACTCGGCCAGATATGAAGCGGGGATCTTACCTTTCCCAACGGCGTCGACGGCTGCCCGGTCGGCGCTGGGTCCTTGATGTAGATGTTCCACGTGGCCACGCTGTTTATCGCCTTGTCCGCGGCGTAACACCTCCACAGGCACTGAATCAGCATCGCGGCCGCCGGTATCTGCCGGTTGAAGTGCTTCTGCCGTTGCTTCTGCTGAACCTTCAGCGCGAACCCCGAGCCCAGTATCCCCTGAAACCAGAATTTGAGCGCAAAGGGTTAAAAATATCAAATTTTTGCCTATTTTTCTCATTACTGATTTTGTCAACTGAAGGAAAACTTCAATTGACAAAATCAGTAATGAGAAAAATCACTTTTTCAGTGGAATAGAAACTTTTTAATTAGAATTTAAGAAGAGGGTTCTGAGACACTTAAGACAAGACGATTAAGGGTCGTGTAATAAAATGAGTGTCGTAAATGAAATCGTACTTACCGCTGGAAGTGCGAAGAAAGATATAGCGAACACGCTAAAACACGAGGCGACTATTTTCCCCATCCACGTCTGGGGGACAGTATCACCGTAACCAATCGTAGTCACAGTAATCTGTAAATGAGAATTTATTCGTACATGTATTAAAATTCGAATAACATTGCAAAAGAAATAAAAATCATTGCTATCAATTATATTAAAACAGGCGAGATTTTAAATCAGTCGAGCAACCGATCAATAAATGATTAAAATATTCAGCCGAAGGGACAATGGGAAACACGAGTAAAGCCAGAAATAAGACAAAAACAGCATCGATGAGCCGAGTGAGCGAGGCTAAATACAACAGGCGAGATTTTCAATCGGTGGGCCAATTTATCAATAAATTCCTGAGACGCGTGGCAGCACGGCGGGGGCTTCACTGCGGTAATTAACGTAAATCGAAAAACAACCTAATTAAAATTTCAATTCCGAGCCCGCAGCGGAGCGGTGCCGTCCCTTTTTTCCTCCTCTGTCCGCCGCCCGTCGCGGAAAATCCAACAGCGATTGAACAACGGCAATCGATACGGTCGACGTTGATCAAACCTGCGTTTAAATCCTCTGCCTCGGTCGTTTCGACGCTCGCTACCGGCGCCCCCGATTCTACAAACGGGGGCTGTAAATACAGACGTATTCCCGAGTGATTAGCGGTCGCCGCTCAATAAACATTCGTTTGTACCATCGGCTCGGGCTCGATTTGTTTTCAATGAATTTGCGGGGAATCGCGGTGCTCCAAATTACATTATTATCGGCGTTAATAGAAATCGAACGAGCTGAGCCGAGCGGTTGGCTCACGTATAACGCTGGGTGCCTTGGGTTACGATTAAACGACGTCGATATGTCGAATAATAATAAAATTCAGAGGTATGATCGTATAATTTCAAAGTACAATCGAATTTTATAGATTATCCAGTTGTTCTCAGATTTACCAGAACACGAGAATGGATTTAGAATTATTATAC